TTTTTGGGCAAATATAATGAGCTCAACGAATTTCGCTTTTCCGGTTCACAACCTGAGCATACATGGATGTACATATATACATTTTCAAACGAAATAAAAATCAGCTGCTCACACAAATGCGATTAAAAAGAGGCAAATGAAACTGACCCTAAGCTGTTGAATAGTAACAGCAAAAAAATAAACAACAACAAGTGTGCCAACTATACCACATCAACGGAAGTATCTGCAATCAGCTGAAAAAAAAACTGAAAGCTAAGTTTTTCTAAACGACAAAAAAAAAACAATAACGTGCTTTCAGTTTCACCGCAAAAAGCCTAGACTTGGAAAAGCTAATCTAACTAATAATTCCAGTCACACAACAAACAAATGGTCAACATACCACCGAATAACCGTTAACAAGACCGCCCCATAACTAACCTATGCTACTTTGCACGTCACCGGCCTGCGCGGACAACAGCACCAACAGACGTCCGGACAGAGCGTTAAGCCAACAAATGATAAGCTGCTCAAATCAGCAGCCAAGCCACTAACAGTGGGTCTACAGTGAAACCGCGTATTCGTACATTGCTGGAGAGCGCGCTGCTAAGGCGAGTAGGTAACCAGATAAGTAGCCAACCTTTTCCGCTTTTCAGTATACAAATTGGCCTGCTCTTTTCGTGCATACCATTCGTGGCAATCAAAGCAAAGGCAGAAGCAAAGAAAACGTATTAACAAAATACCGAAATGTACAAGTAACACATGTTGTTTTTATTGTTGTTGTTGGGGCAACTATTGCTGACCACGTTGACTTTTCTGACAAGCTCGCCTTTGAAACTGCAGACCAGCGGATTAGTCGCTGCCAAGCTGCTGAGGTTAGTATGCATCTGTGGGTTTGTGCATCTAGTATTGGACGACGTTTGCTGTTACAATGTTTGTTGTTATTGTTGATTTCTTCTACCGCTCACAATTCATTTGTATTTGCTTACTTGATGTTGAGGTGTCTGGGTCAGTAGTACCAAGTTGTTGTTTGTTGTTGCTGATGGCTGATGGCTTTTGGCATTTTGCTGCTCACTATTTGCTGTTAGTTCGCCAGCTGGTGGCGAGGCGTTGAAGAAACTAATGACCTTAGCCATGCTTTGGTCGCAGTGCGCCCAGCTCAGTTTCGTGTGGTGTCCAAATAAGCAATTGACTTTGGCATTCAAAAAAAACAACACCAGTATAAGAAAAAGGAAAACAACGCGCAGAGGGGAAACAAAAATACCAAACTTTACAGAGATGTTGGCAGCTGGCAATTGGCATTGGTGTGTTATCAAAATTTCATGGATCATGCGGCGCAAGAAAACTCTCTCTTTTCGAATGCAATCGGATGGCAACAAGGTGCTTTGGTAATCCGAAATTCAAACGAAAGGAACCCCAAAGCATAATAAGTAGGCGGTCATTGAAGATAGACAATATTGATTGGCTGCTGTTGCGTGTTGTATACGCATAATTAAAGTTAGAAAATAAAATAAAAGATGAGATAAAATAAAAACGCAAAAAAGAATGAGATCCATTTTTCTTAGAACGCCGTTTCATTCCATTTAATGCAGTGGAAATATCTGAGGGAATTTGATATTGCTTTTGAAGGCCGTTGTTTACGTAAGTAATAAGAATCAGTAAATTTAATTCAACCAATACCTATGCCGTTCGAATGGACACCGACGCCCCAGCAGTGAAAGTTTAAACTCGGAACCCGCTGGTGGTAGGAGAAGAAGAGGGCGACCCCCACTACGATAGGAAGACCAGGTCGAGGACTTGGCTTCACTTGGAATTTCCAATAGGCGGCAGTTGGGGTAGAAGAGAAACGACTGGCGTGCTTTGTTGAACTCGGATAAAATCGCTTAGGTGGTTACAGCGCCAAATAAGAAGATATCTATGGGAAACTCAACGAGGTCATAGAATGCAAAGAATGGCTCATCTCTTAAATATATATAGTGGTAATTTTATTTTATGTACCGATTTACTATAAAAGCTTAGTTAGTCTAAATTTAACTAACCTAAATTAACTTAACTTAACTTAATATTGTGGCCAACGTTATATGAAGACCCGGGACGACAGTAAGTCAAAACTCAAGTTAAGTTGACGTGTTGAGTAATCTATACTGAATGAGCTTTAACTATTTGCCGCCGTAGCCGAGAGGTTAGAGCTGAGTACTGCCAGGATCCAGGATGCGATTCCTGGTCCCTGCTACATAAAAAAGTGTATTTTTCTAATAGCGGTTGCCCCTGGGAAATCAATGGCATACCTCTCAGTATGCTTCTGCCATGAAAAGGCTTCTCATAAAAAACCAATTGTCTTCAAACCAAGTAACTTCGTCTAAATCATCTAATAATGCCTCGATGGGGATGTGTACGCTTCTGATATATAGAGAAAGTATGCTTTTATTTTGAGAGTTGACCAGTATCTATATGTATAAGCCTACTACATAAGGTTGCTGAACGGAAAGCCGGGCCATTTAAGTTCGGCGAAGGGCACATTGTAATACCATACGAACGTTAAACCAATTCGTGAAGTGTACGAACCTTAGTAACAGCCGTTCCCTAAACCTATGTAGCAGTGGCGCTCAGATCGCCTAAATATCCCGTTTTAAGAAATGCTTATCTCTTCCTGCAGAGTGCAGGGTGATCGCAGAGTAAATGCCTTATAGTTTCAGGTTCTTCGTTATGGGACAGCTTTTTCAGAAGTGATTGTGTTGGGCCCTACCTAAAAAAACATTGGGAAACCTAAAATATTCATATTGTACCTAATTTTGGGCTGACATCATTAAAACGATCTGACAAATCACAAAGAGCATTTGCGCAATCCAAATGAGATCGCTCTAAAAATTATGAAGTTGAATACCTGGGAATCCTTTAAAAATCTGCTAGGTTAGCAAGTCGATTCCAGATGTGAAAACCAAAGCACCTCTCAGCGAACGAAAACATTAATTTCCGGTTTCACAGTTCGTATTTAAATTATAAAGAAACAAGACATTAACGGCTAGTGTATGCTGAATTGGTTGTTAGGGTACTCTTGATTTCTTTGGTGTCGTGGGAGCGAGGGTAAATCAGATGCCTGACATGGAATCGTTAGTTTTATTTAAAGATTTCTAAGTGAAAGGAACCAGTCGACTAGACCAAATTACCGAAGTAGCATACAGAATAATTAGTGAAGTTGAACTTCAATGTAGTGGTTTCATTTGTGTTCAATAGGCTGTCATCGCTTCAATCAAAAAAATAAAACGACTAATTTCAGAAAGAATGATTTAAAGACAAACAAAAAGTCTTATAGTCTTCTCCATCTAGAATTAATTTTCGCAAATTGAAGTTGATCTACTAAAACAAACTTCAATTTAGTGAAATACCAGGAAATAAGACAAATATTTATATTATTAAAGCTCCCACTCACCTTGTGGCTCTGAATTCGCCTCCTCCTCCGAAGACGACGCTTTGTCCTGCTGCCTTTGCAGCTCCTTTTCCCGCTGTAATTTCTGCTCCTTCTCCTTGCGCTCCTCATCCGTCCACGAGCAATGCACTGCACCGTCGCGCTGTAAGCTCAAATTCTCAATGCCATCTGGTATTTCCAGATCGTTGAAAATATGCCTCTGCCCAGCAGCAGCCATACGCCGATAGAGCATCATGAATTGGTAAAGCAGCGACCAGGCCTGCTCCTCTGAGAGAGGTGACTTAAAAGAGTCTAAAATGTTTTTCAACGTCAAACAACTCTCTGTATTCGTGCAGAGACAAACCGGCGGTGGCAACGGCGTGGCCATTGTGTCCGCAATTGTGGTTGCTGTTAGTGTGACGCCGCTGCTGCTGCTAGTGGATTTGTTATGCAGGAGTTGCTCACCGTTATTGCTGTCCGGCAAGGTGGAAAGAAATCCCTCCTCAGTGTCTGAATTGATAGTTAGAGTGGGTGCCAGCTTCTTCTTTATTTCCAGATCTGTGTGGAATTTTATGGTGACGGCACTTGGGCAGTTATCACTTCCATTGCCTGTGCCACCACCACTGCCGCTACCACCAGTGTCGTCCAGTTTTTGGCTGTTTGTCTTGTTTTGATTGATTTTAGTTAGGTTGTTGTTGTTGTTCTCCTCAGTCATGCTTTTAATGTTTTGTTTAATAACTTCAGTAGTTAAAGGTTAATTAGTTAGTTGGTTATTTAGTCGGGTTTAAATTGTGAAACGTCGTAGATTGGATTCGTAATCGCTTAGTCGATTTAGACGGGTCACTTTTATAGAACAAACATTTTTTTCTTGCACGCAGAAACACAGTTATAATTTTTTGCACGAAATTTTACACTAACAAATGTGGTTAGATTATACACAAACATTTTTTCTTGAATTTTAATTACATTGTTATTAATTAGATATATGTATTTTATTTTATTGCTTTTGCTCCAGTTAAATATTTTGGCCAAATTTAGCCCAGTGTTGTTGTTGTTTTGCTCACGTCTATATCTGTCTTGCAGTTGCCGATCTGATGGCTTGGATTGGAATTTGGATTCGAATTTGTCCACCGCTTCGCGCATAAAAGAGAACAAACAAAAATTTTCACAAAAATTAAACACAAAATCAAATCCAATCAAGTTTGGAAACAAAATAATTATTTATTTTTCTGTTAATTTTCTATTCACTGAACACAAAAAGCAATCAAAATTGTTTGAAAAAATATCAAATTATTTAACAAAGAAAACGGTGCAATAAAGTAGTCGCCTAGTAGTTGTTGTTGGTTTTATAAGCTTTATAATTCTTCACTGGCGCAAGTGTGACAATTTAGATTAATTCGTGTGCTGTGTAGACTTTTGCTGTTGCTTTGCAAATTATTCTTTTTGTTATTGTTGTTTTAAACATTGCTTCACATTGGAAAACTGATAGAGCCCGTTATCTGGCGCATGATTCACGATGAGACTCGTGAATGGGACACTTGTACGCGGGAGCGTTATCTAAGCGCGCGCCCACACGCTACAGAGGTAGGGCGCTAAAAGCTTGCGAAATTTTTTACTTTTAACAAAAGGGCATCTAGAAACATTAATGGGAAAAATATTAAGTTCGTAAGAGTAATGAATTTACATGAATACATACTTATGTAGTTTTAATGAAAACTAGGCAGAGTACATAATAAAAAAAATATATCTGTTTTAAATAAAACAGAAGAGTATTTTGTCATGAAAAATACATATAATATAAAATAAAAAATTTATAAAAATATTTTACTTACAAAAGAAATTGCTTAAAAAATTTTTTAATTTTTTTGGAAATATATTGAAAGTAAAATCTTTAACAAAAGTTTTCATCGAAAAGAAATTCGTAAAGGAATTTTAAAATATGATTAAAAAATT